TTTGCTTTTCTTCTGCCCGCCCCATTCCTTGAGCTGGAGCACTGAGGAGGTATGGCAGAAACACGTGAAAGCGAGAAGTAAAACAACATAACAAATGTGGAGTTTCAGTCAATACAGGCTTGGCAGCAGGGCTGCCGAGGAACAAGAGGGTACAAATCTGAGGGGAAGAAGGTGGCTGTTTTCCTCTTTCTTATACTCCAAAAAATATGGTAATATTTCTTTCAAATGCTAATATTCTTATGTAATGTGATATGTAATATTTCTGAATGATATGGGGATATATAGTATAAATCCCTATAAATAAACAGCACTTTCTTCTTTAGTTGTTGGTTCCAATCAGTATTGATGGGAGGAGGGGGGAGGGAAATCGCATCCCTGCACCTCCTGGCCATATATTTTAGGTGCCTCAAGGCTTGATCTCTACCTGCTCTTATTCAATTTCTACATGAAACTACTGGATAAGTTCAGCAATATCCACATCCAGTTTGAATGTGGTATGCTGTTGATATCCAGCTTTGGAAAGCTATCTATATTTTGACCCAGTGTCTGGAGGCTATTCATGCATGGATCAGGCAGAACAGACTTTGGCTCAATCCTAAGAAGACCCAAGTGTCTATAGCTGTTTTGATACCTTGGGTTGGGGTGTCAGTCTTTAGCCTTGAATTAAACAATAGATCCTTCATGACTTGCAGCTACTGCTTGAAGAGCAGATGGCATCTATTGTCGTTAGATTCATCTTCTATGCCAGTTGTACCCCTTCTTCAATGGGAGGCCCTTCAGACAGAAGTTCATGTCCTGATCATCTTATAATTTGATTATTGCAATATGCTCTATATGGGGCTACCCCTAAAGACATTCTGGAAGCTATAGTAGAGGGGGGAGGGAAAAATGAAACACTGTGGGTAATAATTGATGTTTGTCAGTAATGGATGCTCATGTGTCAGCATTGTTATGCAAGCTGCACTAGTTGCCAGTTGTATTCTAAGTGCAATTCACAGCACTGGTTCCCCTGTACGGTATGTCTAGGACCTGGATAGCTGATGGACTGCTTATCTTCAACTGTTTCCGTCTACCTAGTTTCCACACTCCAGGTTCCCCCCACTAACCATTGCCATAAGCATTCTCTGGAACAGCATTCCCAGAGATAAGGATGACACCCTCTCTCCATGTGTTCTGGAAAGCTTTGAAAATATGGCTTTGGTCCCATTCGTGGGATTTAAGTTTATGATTTGTTCACTGGACCCAGTTTTGTTATATAGATTGTGTTGTTTATCAGATTATTTTAGCCTGGACTGTCTGCTTGATTTAATGTTTTAGCTGTTTTTAATTATTTTTTTATTTTCTCTATGAGCATGCTACCCAGAGACAACTGGAGCTGGCTGCCCAAAAAATTTTAAATACATAAAATAAAATAATAATATTGTACAAGAATATGATACAATAAAATATTCCAATAAAAAAGTGCAATACTGGCAAAGAATAGGGAATAGATTTATTTGGATTGGGGTATCATTCTATAGTAAAACTTAAAAAATGTGTAAGCTTCAAAGATAGTAGTTGACACACAGTTATATTACCAATCAGTTGTTTCTCATAGGTAACAAAATGGATAAAATCCCCAAGCCCACTTTGCTTAGCAATAGAAATTCTAAATTGCCACAGATAAAGTCTGTATGTGTGATTGATAACATAACCAAACAAGTCTTGAAAAAAACTTGAAAATACTGGAAACAAATATACAATATTATTGAAAAGAACATTAAAGCTAGAATTGAAACTTCTTTTTTTTTACATTAGGTCTTCTTTCAGTACAAATACACCTTTGCTAATCACATCATATGTATATATCTATCTATTTCATATACAAGACTCTAGATAGCTAAAAATTAAAAGCAAAATAAAATAAAAACATCTGCATTGTTTTTAAAAATTAATAACATAGAATAGCTTTAGATATTCACATCTCACATTTAAATAAGGGTGGGCTCACCCATATAGCCAAGGTGTTAATAATAAAAGAAAGAAAAAGATAAAAGATAAATTGAAAGGTAAACAGGAAACAAATTAACTGAAATAGTTTCTGCAAGAATTAGTAAAATTACAATGTATATCTGAATTATGAAATATAAATTAATAAAAAAACATATTCAAGAGCAACAATTGGAGCAATTTATAATGGTATAATTACAAAGTTGACTTGCTTTGACAACATTATAGGAGAACAGTCCTGTTAATTTATGATGGCAAAAAGTCAGAGGTCCCTTTTTCAACTAACATTTTTTATTAATAGCACAAGCTTTTGTGAGCAATCTTTTAATGATTTATTGCCAGCTTTCAGGATAAACCGATTTGGTACGCAATCCTATACTGTTCTTTCCTTCATCGCCAAGCTATTTTACAAGAACAAGTGTTATTTTTTGCTATGGTTGTTGTGGCATTGCTTTCTGTGAGGTAGTATTGTTATTAGGACTTTATTCCTCTTCTGCTGAGACACAATTAATGTATTTTTCAGAGCATAAGATGCACCTTTCCACCCCACAAAAAGAGGGTGAAAATCTGTGTGCATCTTATACTCCGAATATAGCCCTGCCAGCCCCCGCCCTTCAGATATTTTCAGCCTCTGTGTGTCACATTTTTGGTGGTTCAAGTTGGCGGGGATCCTAACTTCCACTAGGATTTTGATAAAAAACAGCACAGATCTTTTTATCCATTCAAAACAAATCCTATCACCCTGCATGCATTTAACTGGAGTGGGTGGGGTGGGGTATGATTTTCATGGGGGCAGAAGAGGGACTTGCCACCAAAGGCTCCACTCCCAAGACGCCCCTGTCTTCCTACCTATAGCTGTAGGCGTTGAAAACCAAGCTTTCTTGCAGCAAGGCCCAGTAGACACGCAGCACTTCAGTCCTCCTGGATGCTGCTCAGGCAGCAGATCTGGCCAGGAGGTATTTTCACTTGGCAGTGTGGGCTAGAACCATCTGCCACCTGAAACACAATGCACTTTTTTGGCCTCCACATGCCCTGTTTTTGGAATTGGGGAGAAAAGTGTTTTCAGGTGGCAGCGGCGCGATCCCTTCCCCGATTCCAAAAACGGGGTGTGTGGCTGGTACTGCCACCCGGA